TCTCTCTCCTTCCAGCCATCTTTGGCTCCTTTGGTCTTTCAAGGGAGGAGTAAAACTAAGGATTCGTATCATGCTTAGATGCTGACTGTTGCTTTAATAAGAAGCTTTTCAAGGCTCAGAAAACCTCCTTTACTCCCGGGTTACAGTGGGGTACAACGCACAACCCATGCCAAGATGCCACCTCTGCAAACCTGCCTTTGCCAAAGCACTTCCACACCCGTCATCCCCAAGACAGTCCCTCCTGCCTCGTAGGGAGCTCATTGCCTCTGTGAGATCCTACAGGTATTAAGTGATACATAAACATGAACAACCAAACCCCATCTAGGGATGGATGCTCAAAACAAGATGACGACTCTCCACCCACACAGCTTCTTGTGTGTGGTATGGACTCGGTCCTTCCCAACACGGAGAAGACACGGCATGGAGAAGACAACACCAAGGCGCTGGGATTGCCTGGCTGGTTTAGTACAGTCAGACCTTGTTGTCTCTTGATGAAAACAATAAATGCTTGGGTCAGCAGTTTCTTCAGGAGCACATAGAAAGATGTTACTTACATGACAAGTGAGCCCTGCACGGCGTGGTAGTCTGAAAAGTAAAATAAAACACAACCCCAACCCAAAGCAAAATTGCTTAGCTCATCAAAGTCAATGTTACAGCATCTAAATAACTCTAACCTCACCCCTCATCTTTAATTCCTCCCACTCCTTACGCTTAAAGGACAATCCCAGGCCTGTTTGTGTCGATTTTCATGATGCAGTGACAGGGTCCCAACAGATCTCAAACCCCTTTTGCTTCTGAAAGGCGAACGATGACACAATTCTCTACACAGAAGAGGAAAGTCAAGAGTAATCTAAACTGTTAGCCCAAATTATAAGATTATATCCCCACTTACACAAACATGGCAAGGTCCTGCTAGTGTAAATATTTACTTTCAAAGTTCATTTTAGCATCAAGCTTGCTACAGAAGAGGAGATGCCAAATTTGTGAGGGAGCTGAAGAGACACTAAGGTTGTAAGAGGCCTATCCATCTGTTGCTTCAAAACCTTCCAAAGGCAGTAAAACTTGCACTGTACACATTAACCGGGATTGACAGAAGAGAGAAAATTAAATTAGAGAGAGAAAATAAGACAGGCAGTAAATTATATGCAGTTTACATCTCACCAGCCTGAAACATATGCTCCCATAAACCCCATTTCTACGAGCCTAGGAAGCAGGTATGCCAGATGAGATCCCTCTATTTTATAGCACAAGCAGGGCTTTTTGGTAGCTGTTCTACCTGCACAAGCTGCACAAATACAAGCTACCGAAGACCCTCATCTGCCCTATCAGCCTTGCTGACACAGTCTTCCCCTCTTTCAAGTTTAAACGCTCGACTTGGTGCTTGTCAGCAGAGCACAGGTGGCTGCTCAGTTTGCAGAACATGGGGATTCCCTGCTAAGGGATAAAAAAAAAGCAGGTCTAAGAGAAGAAAATTTAACCCTGGATGCTACATCTGTAAGACCAGGCTCCAAAACATCCCACGTCAAGGGTCAGGGCAGAAGGCTTCTCCTCACTGGCCCACATCTCCTGGAGAAAGGGGGTGGCTGGCTGCAGCAGCTCCGTGCAGTGCTGCATCTGGACAGCAGAATCCCACAGCACCAGGGAAAGCTTCACTGTAGGACTTGCTCCAGCCAGTCCCCCCCAGTAACAACTCTATGCACTGGGCAGAAAGTGCAAGAAACTCCTGGCAAAGGGATAGGGCTGCAGCTGGGCTGAAGATGATCAAATGAAAGTAAAGCAAGGTCCTCCTGTCAAACCTCTTACTTTGATGCTCAGACAGTTCTCCCCGTCTCTCCAACATGAAGATGCCAACTGGCTTAGCAGGGACAAATTCAGGCCCTCCAGCTGAGCTCCTCAATCACATTTTCAGATGTGCCATAGTGACCAGAGAGACAGGGACAGGGCAGCAGGGACTCTTCCACACCACCAAGCTTGCCTGCAGCCCTAACAATTTCAGGAAGCATCTTCTAATGCTCTAAACAGAGTCCTCCTGAGAGGAGGAAGCAGATGGAGAAAGTTATTTTCCCCCCTCGGATGACCTGCTTTAATAAATGCACACTCAGTTCTTTTCTGCCTCTATTTCCGAGTTAAGCACTGACATGAAATGGCTGGGAAGTTCACAGTGTTGGTGATGAAACCCCTTGTTCATGTAAGAAACCAGAGATTTGTCTGTGCCAAGTGCACTCGTTATGGGAGTGGGTTATTGGAAAATACTCAGCTCGCTGCCAACCCAGCCCAAGTTTGAAATGCAGGAGAAATGTGGGGTCTTGTTCAATCCATCAGCCTACTCCACCAGCAATGTACTTCTGCCAATGACTTGACAACTTTGCTTCTCATGATTGCGAAGGAAGATACAGATCTTCCCCTTATGCATTTACTATCAAGATAACCACTGTACTTAATCAAGAAAGACAAAAGTGGCTCTTTCTGACAACTCACACCAAATTAAAGCTGAAGGAAGCTCTTGATAGCTCTGCTTTACTTATTCTAACTCCCTTAGATGTTTATGGTAATTGTCTTCTGGATAATTTGTTTAAATCTGAATGTAAACAAAGAAGGGTTTGTACACATCTACCACCTCGCAGAAAGCTGATGTGTGTCATTCCTGAACGATATTTTACCCATAGTTTATTGTTTTCATCACCTCCCCCATAGAAAACTGATTCAGGTCAGAATCAACAGCAGTACCTGCAGGAGAAGCCAACACAGCCTCACCTCTGCAAATCAAATGATTGGTTTGAATCTTTCCTAAAATGTTCCTCAAATGAGAAAAAGCCTTCTATTTCCCTGTTATTCTGAATGTCTCTGGGGAGCTGCTCAAGAGGCATAACTCAGTTTAACTGCACTGGAGGCCATTGGCCATGTGCCTGTATGCACCAGCAGAAGACCTCTACTGAGCAACTCCACCTTAACACAAGTCATCATACCCCATTCTGCTCCTCATTATCTTACACAGGACTCCGGGCTTTTTTACTGAACATATAACTTGTATGTATCCAACTTGTATGTATCCAACTTTTTTGCACCTTTTTTTCTCCCCGCTTACAAAGTAGGGTTTTTTTCAAGGTCAGAAAAGAAGAAAATGGGAATTAAGTACTTGGAAACAATAAACTCTTAAGTCTCCCCTAGCAAAAGGTAGGGAGAAGAGCAAACCAAGCCTACTGTGAGTGGGGCAGCTGGCTTTCACAGCAACTCATGCCCAGTCATCTACCGACAGGTCCGATACTACTGGTCTGGGTGTATTTGAAAAGCCCATCCCCAAACACACATCATGGGCTATCCATCATATAATCACCTCCCTTACCACGTCCCACCCATACTCTTCACCTGCCAGTGATCAGCCAGATCTAAACTCTCCTTCAGCTGTTGAATTCCTGCTCTTGCATTTAAATGCTCCTCACACTAAAAAAAAAAAACCCAACAAACCCCGAAACAAAAACAAAACCCTATAAGCAAACCAACTCTGGTGTTTACTTTCTGATTTCCACCTGTAGTAATGTGGAACAAAGCAACACTCACAGTTTTTGCTGTCTCACTTTACTCCCAGCTAACAATACCTTCTAGTGATGCTTGATAAGTTCTGTTTACTCAAACTATCACAAGTAGAATACCACATGTCAACTAACTGCTTTTTCATTTAGGACCCTTAAGTCTAAAGAAGAGGAAGAAAAACCCTTCACCCATTCAAATAACACTTACTCATGACAGAAACGCCTTAAGTTAAGAAAACTTGTGTAAATACAAGTTTAGAAGTTCTAACTCCTGAGAGTTGTTTTACTAGGAATCCAACCTTCTGTTTAAATAAGTGAGGTAACCCAAGCAAGTTATGTTTCTACTTATATTAGTTTCATATATGGGATATCAAGTATTCTTATTTTTTCCAGATACAAGATGAAGCTTTCTGCACTGGCCTCTCTTCTTGTGGGAATGTAAAGAGAAAACCATGCCTCCCTTCTTAATGTATTAGTGCCTAGTAATATACACCAGATGATCAATAAACGACATAAAAATTAAATCAAACTGACAGCCTTTAGAAAAAAATGGGCTCTAAGCAGAAACAATTGTTTTAAAGACTGTGGTGTCTGGAGTATTAAACTCACGTGCTGCTGTGTTATTAATCTCTTTGTTGGAAGCCAGTTGATTTCCCCTGCCTGTGTCTGTCAATTAAATATTCAGCATTGCAGCCACAATGGAACGGTTGATGTTTTGGCATGCAAAATCTTTTGGAGACAGCCTGTTGACAGTTTCCTTACATGTCAGACCATTCCCAAACGCCGAGCGGGCTAGCAAACCCAGACCTCTGCCAGGGACTAAGGGATGCCCGAGACCTGGGACCAGGCACGCGAGAGAGGTAGACCTGACAGCCGAGCCATACAAAGTAACTAAAGCAGCAAGAGTTTCGCCTTTCCTCCCCCATTTTTAATGAAAACACCCAAGCTGTGCGCTTTGCCATGGAGCACTACCTCCACCTGGAGCTGGCCCTGCACCGGGGGTGCGGGCCCGGCTTGGGGGCTCCACGGGGGACCTGGAGCAGGGGGACATCCCCGAGCCCACAGTGCCCCCTGCGCACCGCCAGCGGCCGGGCTGAGCCCCGCCACCCGCCGGGTCAAGACATGGGGGAGAAGCGCTAAATATAACAATAATAATCATTAAATCGGGGCTTGAGGGTGCTGGGGGTGCCCTGCTCCCCCCCCCCCGCCGCCATCCCCGCTGTGACCCCCATAGGACGCGGTCCCCACCGCCCGGCTCCAGCGCTCCCCGGCCCAGCCCCGTCTCTCCCCGTCTCGGCTCGGCTCGGCCGGCGGCCCCGCTCCGCTTTTGTTTGGGAAGCGGCACGGCCGAGCTCTGCCCGCCCTCCCGCCGCGAAACCTCCCCAAAGTGGGAACCCGAAGGGCTGTAGGGGGGATAATGGAGGGGAGCGGAGGGGCGCGGAGCCCCGCGGAGCCCCCGCGACTGCTCACCCATGACGAGGCAGAGAAAGTCGAGGCAGATGAGCAGGGCTTTCTTGCTGCTGCTCTTGGCCGGGTTGTTGTTCAGCGCCGGGCTGCCCCCATTCTTGCTCTCCGGCGGGATCGCCTTATCGTACTTGTAGCTCTGCATTATCGGGGGCGAACGCCCGAGCCGTGCCGTGCCGAGCCAAGCCGGGCCGCGCCGCTCCGAGCCGGGCCGGGCCGGACTCACACGCGGTGCGCCGGGGAGGTGCTGCCGGAGCCGCTCCCGGCCTCTCCGGTGGGGCACGGGAGGCGAAAAGCAGGCGGGTCTTCCCTCAGAAAAATCAATTGGAAGTAGCAAAACAAAACCAAAACAAGCACAAAACCACCAGCGAAGGAGGGAAGGGGGAGCGAGGGAGAAGTTTGCGGGTGTCCCAAGGCGGTGGAAAAGTCCTGGAGGAAAAGCCGGGGGGCGGGATGAAACAAAAAAAAAAAGGAAATATATGTGTATCAAGAGCTCAGTACGCGGAGGGGAAAAAGGTGCGGAGCGAGGAGCCGAGTGGTGCTGACTCCCAAGGCAGGTGGGTTCTGCGCTGCTCCGCGCTTTTAGCGCTGCGCTGCGTTGGGGGCTCCCGCCGCGCCCGCCCCGGCCGCTCTGGGAGCCACCGGTTTGTTTCTGCACTTTTATTTCGCGAGGTCCTTTCCACCCCTTAGGAGGGGAGAAAAAAAAAAAGAGAAAGAAGGGGAGGAGGGGGTAAAAAAGAACCCGTCACTTCGCCTCGGATGGTATATCCAAGTAAGCACAGCCCCTTTCCTGCAGCTGACATTTTACATAGATAATGAACTCCACATTTTTTTTCCTGAGGGAAGTTAAAAAAAAAAAAAAAAAAAGTCAGGAACTAAAGTTTGGTTTGTTTTTTTCTTTTTTTTTTTTTTCCCCTCGCAGACCAGAAGGAGGGAGCCTCTAGCGTTCACAAGGCAAAGAGAGGATTGCACGGGGGGAGGAGGAAAACAACCAGCCGGTTCCAAGGCTGCAGGGAGGACTCGGGAAGCTGGTAACGGTGTGAGGGGCAGAAAAGGAGTAATAAATAACGTGAAACGTTTTTCTCCTGGTTTTCCCCCTTGCCCTCCAGCTCTGTGCCAAGCGCTGAGACTTTTCCCGGCGTTGCAGTGCTCAAAGACCCCAATGGGGTGATTTTGGTAGGGCAGCATCCTGCCCTGCCTGGTCGGTGGTGAAGGATGGGGTCTGGCCATTAGTGGTACCCCCACCAAGCTGTAGCAGCTTTGCCCTCCCGCACCAGCAATACCAGCTTCAGCAAATGAACATAACGAGAGTGTCTGGAGTTTGGTGAGGGATTAGTAAGTTGGTTAATCACCCCTTTGGTCTAATTAAAAGTCAGCAAGGAAGCCAACAATAGGTTTCCCAGGAAGTCTGGCTGGTGGGATGGTGATGCTAGCAGCTCAGCCTGGTGGGAAGAGTGTGTGCTACCCAAGGACACTGCTCAGGACAGTATCTAACCACTTCTCTTCCTTTTTTTCTTGGTCTTGTATTTGACCTCAGCCTTCCATCTGTGTGCTGGCAAACCACCACTAGGCCAAATCCTGTGCCACAGCATATATCCTGCCACATCCCTTGTGTTTCCCTGCCTGGAGAGCAGGGGGCAGGCAGGACTCCCCCCAGCAAGGACACACTTCCCTGCTGCTTTTTGCATGGGGTATAACCCAAGCACTAGAGATTGCACCTCAGCAAGGACAGGTTTCCCAGGAATCTGTTTAGACACATACCTGGGCATATTTGGGCCAGGCTGGGAGGAAGAAAGCAAAGTGGCTGTTTTCATATTTTACTTTTGTATGTGTGGTGTAAGGGGAAAACAGACCTTGGACTTTCCTGCAGTTCTGTCATTACACCTTAGTGATGCGCTCAGGTGTCATCTCCCACCTTCATTTTGAGGAGATGGCTGTCTTTTGGCTGATATCACCCCATGGCACTGAGCACAAAGCCATCAGTTTGGGCTCAGATCGGTGCCCTGTGGTGATGGTCATGCACCAGGGGGTCCAAGCTTCCTGTGGAGAGCACATGTCAAGGTCTCTCCCTCTTCCCCCTGACTGCAGCAGAGGTGCGGGTGCCTCATTTAGGCTCCTCGGATGCCTGAAGCGAGCGGAAAGAATCTTCACGTGGGAATTCTCCCCCAGCCGAGGGGCCAGCCCTGGGCCAGCTGCAGGCACGCTGCCCAGTACCCAGCTCCATGCTCTGCTGCGGGGCCTGGCATCCACCTTCCCTGCACCCTTCAGAGCCCAGCCCTTGCGAGAGGAGCCCCTGGCTTTCATCGGTTGGCCCCAGTCTCCCCTCAGCCCCAAATCTGCTGATTGAAAACAATCCCCACCGAAAGTCCCTGGGTTAGAGTCAATTTTGTGTTTAAACATGAGAAAATAAAATGAAAACTAAAAGACTTGTCATTGCGACGGCAAATAAATAAGAACCTTCATGCACTTAAAGGGAAATTGAAAATATAGCTCTATTTGCATTTACAAGACCCCCTCAGGCTACTAATGTTTGCATTTTCATAACAAAAAGATTGTACTGTTAATTGGTGCAAGCCAGGGCACACAACTAAGGCAGAGTCTTGGACGATTTCTTAAGGGAGCAGCCACCACAATTACCCAGTTCACACTTGACAATGGGTAAGTCAGCAGCACCAAAAAAGCAGCTTCTGTGCCTTTGTCAATAATAGGCAAGAGATTCATTGGTAATAGTTAATTGTAGATTCATAAATGTAATTATTGAATACACCATGCCACAGCTATCCTTTTAGGGCTCAGCTTTCAGTCAGACTCCAAATTCCAGCTATGGACTGAGGTTTCTCTTTATGTAAGTGAACTGAACCAAGCCTATGTTACTAGTGAATTTTGCTCTGCATTTCTGAATACTGATCTCACAATATTTTCACCATCTCAGATGCACCAGACCTCTGGTGAACAAGGAATGCAGCACTGATATGGGAAGCTCGTTGTATGGGAAGAACACTTGTTCTTGCCCACATTTAAACATTAACTGGGATATCGCTGAACCCAACAATATTAAAACAGGAACTGTGTTTTATTCATTCAATCTTGTCATTTTAAGAAAATAAGCTCTTTAAGAATACTTCTGGAGCTGGAAATGGGGCAGGAACTGGATGCATCTTTAGGACATCACTATGTGGAAACCTGTTCATACATGGGAATAACTTCAAACTGAGAGGAGCTCTTCCTCATTCGACATGACCAGTCATCATGATCCAGGCCAAAGGGTATCGCTTCTGCCAAAAAAAGCCCCCAAACCAATAAACAAGCCACCAGTAAAAAAAGTTCCTGTTTTTACTTTCTTTTTTATTGTCCATAGAAGAGTGTGTCCAAGGACAGTAATATCTGGTTTGAGGAAATAGCCCATCGAGACTATGTGCTTCCACCTGGTACACAGGATTGGTTTGGAGAGAAGGGATGGGAGGTAGCTTCAATTTCTGCTCTGAGGCTCATAGAAGTAACTTATCTCACATGTTATTTAATGTAAAATAACTATTTGTTGGAGTGGGGTGTGGATCTGCAGCCTGCTCTTACAATCCTACTTACCCCATCTCACTCCCAGCTTTAATTAGTCCCTATGATGCACTTCATGAGCCCAGCATTACCACTGGGGCAGCAATGGAGCAGCACTCCCCTTTGCCAGCATGGACCTCATGCTCCTAAGGCAGGATGCAGCCCTGGTGCTCCAGACTGCTCTACTTGCAAATGTAGAGAATCATAAAATGGTTTGGGTTGGAAGGGACCTTAAAGCTCATCCAGTTCCAACCCCCTGCCACAGGCAGGGACACCTTCCACTAGAGCAGCTTGCTCCAAGCCCTGTCCAACCTGGCCTTGAGCACTGCCAGTGTCTTACCACCCTCACAGTGAAGAATCTATCCTGCTTTTCCTGATGTGCTGCAAACACCAGTGACACTGTAGAAGTTTGATGTCTAAAGCATGCATGGTTAGATGCCCATTTCGATGCACAGGCCAGTGCCAAGCCACCACTGCCCATACACATATATGGGGCCGCACTTAGCTTTTCCATCACAGGGAGGATTTGGCAGTAGCTCCTCTGGAGAAGGGACCGGCAGCAGGGAAGGACCAGGCCTATTGTATTTTTTAGAGCTGTTAATGACCGTGTCTATAGCAATCCTAAAATAAGAAAGTGAGCTGTGTTCAGTCCATTGATTGTTATCCATGTGTTATCTGAGATTGCTCCCCACCAAATGGAGAAACTGGAGCAAAGTTACGTGCTGTGCATCAGGTGGCCTAAACTGGAGTCATGAGGCCAGAATACCAGTGAAATTCTGGGAAGTCCAAAGCTGAACCACCACTACCCTGTTCAAGACTATTTTTAGCACCATCAGCTGCTGCTGATGGAGAAAACACCACGAGAGGAGCTGCAAGTCATGGGGAGGGAGCTGGGGGCATTGCCAAGCCCACCCAAAAGCAGGAGGTTAAGGGCAGGAGAGCTGCCATGTCCCCTGCCTGCTATCACACCCTGTGTGCAGGGTCTTCCAACTTGTGCAATTGCTGCTGCCCCATTAAGAACTGTTTGCTAAGGTTGGACTTAGACCCATCATCGCAGAGAGGCAAATAAAAGTGAAATCCAAAGGGGGCCCAGTTCTGCCCTGTTCAATGCCACTGGGAAGAATCAAGCCTCATGTATCTTCAGGTCATTAGAAGAAATTAGCTGATAAAATGTCATGCTGATACAGCATTTGCTGCTGTTCAGGAAATTGGGTATCCAGATTGATGCAGGCCAGGAGGGTCATCCCTCAAGCACATGCCTTGGTGACCCATGAGTTAGGATGTTTTGTGGTCATGGACCCATTCCTGGCATCACAAATCACACTGGGTCAGATGCATTTGATTTGCCAGCAACCTTCAAGTCCAGTTTGTTTTGAAACCAACATCTGCACTACTGCCAAGTTTCACAATCCTGGTGTTTCTCCTTAGTTTAATTTAGTTCCCCTAGATCTTGCTGGCTCCCGACATGATTAGAGGATTCCACTTTGCATTGTTACAAAGAAGGGGGGGGAAAGAGTCAAATGACATGATTACAACAAAAAGCTTGAAAATGTGACCTCCAAATCTCAGCTGAAAGACCAAACCCCACAAGCTGTAGGAAAAGGAGGCCTTTTCATTTAATTTGAAGGCCAAATCGCACAGTTCGAAGGAGCCTGATTTATGATTTAGGGGCACTGGGCACTGGTAACACCTTGTGTATAGTCCTCCTTGTGCCTCTTGCCTTCAGCCTGCCGGCTCTGCCCTCAAAAAAGAGAATAACAGCACCATCTACTGCCCTTCCTTAGCATTCGCTTGGAAAAACCAAACCCTTCAGCTCCATCAATGCAGCTCCAGCAGGTCCTGGCTCCGGTTTGCCACTGCCTGGTGATGCAGCCGAGGATTGATGGAGAAATCGGAGCAAACTGGGACTGCAGAAATAAATAGCAAGGTCTTAATTAAAAAAGATGCGTGTTAATTATTAGAAATCCCAGTCACCTTTTCCCCGACTGGTGGCATTAAAAGGATTTCAATAGAGCAGTATTTTCATACAGTTCCCTCAAATCCTTTCATGTGTTTATTAGCAGAACCTTCAAGGGCTGTCTGTATAATTCCCAGTTTCTACCAGGCAGGCATTTTCACCATCA